AATACTAGTCAGTTGTTGCTGTGCTTTGAGGTTGAATCTGCATTTTTCTCAGCTCAGGGATTAGGCAAGAGCTGAGACTGATTTTGTTAATCTCAATTTTGGGATGCAAGCAGGAGGAAGGTGTCAAATCTGTAGTTCTAACAAGACAGTAGTTGATTTTTTTCTTAAGATTTAGTTTCTGTATCCAGAGTTTTTTCATTTCTGTCTTAACATCCTGGTGTCTAAGGCTAGAACTCTCTAAAGTAAAATGTATATAATTAGTATCACAACTATGGTCTGAAGAAGTTAGTTTCAGATAAGGCAAACTCGTATCAGAAAATCCCATCCATAAATTTGCCATGCAGCTTTAGCTTTGACCCTTGTACATATGGGAGAGCATAGTTAAGGTATATCATTATGTTTTATGTTGATGATATTACATCTTTCATTTGGCACATTTCCATCCATTTATACTCCTATGTATTTAATTAATGATCCCCTGTAGCAATTTGATGTTTTTCATATCTCTTCTCTAACATACATGTTGTAATAGGTTTTTTACTGTTCCATACACAACTGTTTCAAACACGTAAAAATTGCACAGAATTCTCAAATAGCATTCTGTAGATTAAAGTCCAAAAAAAGACTGCAATTTTGTTCAAATTTTCTTTCTAACGTAGGTGTTCTGGAATTTTTATTCCATACAGTGGCCCTCTCTTGATTAAAGTCCTATGGATTTCATACCTTCCTTTTACAGTGCTGTAAGATTCCTATAGTCACTGCAGCAAGTGACAGTTCAAAAATAGTAAAAGTTGTGGGGTTTGGGTTGATTTTTTTTTTTTTTTTTAAACTAATCTCACAATTTACAAACAAGGACATCAGGTGCATAAATTCTGCCTGCTCCTATAGGACCATTAATAATGTACTGAATTCCATCACTGATTCATAGGCAAGAGTTTAAGAATATTTATTTTATGAAGTGTGGGGAAAATTTCCTGAGATGCCTCAGTTGCAGGTTATAAATCTGGCATGCCTGCAGATGAAGTATTCAAGAAAGGTAAAGTTAATGTAGGATGAAGTAAGGCATTCAAGGTTCTGCTGGAGTCATTACTGATCCCGTTATTGTCCACGTAGCTGTGGGAGAAGGAAATCTTTTTCTTTAGGTAGTACTTGATAGTTGTCACATTTCTCTCAGATGAAGATGAAGGTTAAGTGAATATTCTTGGTATACCATCTGGTTAACTTCTAAAGAGTTAACTTTTAAATGTTTTAAAATATTTTTGGTTGTTTTTTTTTTTTTCTCTGAGGTGGTCTCTTAAGCTTTTCTGTTTTAATAGATCTCTTATAATAACACTTTTCTTCAACATTCTTGAATCACGTAGTACTGTGGTTAACTTAAGGTCCACGTTTTTCTCTAGTAGTTCATAGTTCTCTTTATTGAATCTTTTAATTTAAATAGTCTCCTTTTGTTCATTTTGAAGGATTTGCCTTGTTTAATGGCATTAATTCTATCATACGTTTGAAAAATATTCAGTTGTGTCATATCTCACTTCTATATCTGTCTCCACAATTTGGTTATGATGATATACCTTTTAGACATAGTGGAAAACAGCTGTAATCTTTCTTTCCTGTAAATGTAATCTCAGTTTTCCTTCTGCACTGAATTAGCTGAGGTTTCTTAATAAGTTGTCAAAACTGCTAGCTTGTGACTTTTATCTATCATTTAACTTCTAAGCAATAGCTGATATTAATTATTGAGCTTCAGTAAATATGGGGGAAGCTAGATAAAATCTTGATTAAATGTCTCTGGTTAATTTGAAACAAAGGTTATAAGCTATGGTTGCTGAGGTTTTTCTCATAGAAGGTCTCTTAATGCAGCAAAAAAAGTTCATATATATTATTTTTAATAGAGTGGACAGAACTGAAATGTTTTTGGGGCTTCATTCAGGAAAAAATGTAGGCTCCAAGTGGCTCTTGAGCTATGCTGTGGGAACATTTACTTACGACTTTTTGTGGAAATTTTACCTTTTTTTCATCCCACTGTTCTTTCATCTTTTAAAAACTTCTTTCAGTACTGGCGAGTTGTTTTCTTTCTCTCCTGTTATGCTTGCATTTCCTTCTGTGTCTGTTACTGTGCTGCTTCGAGAGACTATTAGACTGTCAGAATATCTGCTGATGTAGTCAACATCTGAGGCAGAATTTTTAGCTGTTATATTTTGTCCAAATGCTTCACTCCCTCTTTCTGAATAAGCCAAAAAGACCTTAAAATTGTATGTTATTATTTAGTGTGTGCAGCCCTGTTTGTACGTGAGGGTAAAGAGGTCACACGGAATAAGCTCCTTGTCATGTCCCTCTGTTCTGGTTGGGTAGCAGGGAAGGGTAGCCTTGTTTTTGTTTATGACCCACTGATGCTTTCTTGAAGATTTTTTTCCGTTCTAGTTTGGAGAAGAATATTCCAATTTACTGTTTCATGGAATGGGGGGTCCCAGCTTCCAAGTGGAGTTTTTACAGCAGTTGCAATCCTGAAGCTCCAACCATATATTTGGTCCAGGTGATCTCTCCTCCAATACAGATCTAGTTTTCCATTTCTTCATTGTTTTAATGGCTTTCTGATGTCTTGGCTCAGAAGCACTTCGTTCTCTGAAATTAAAAGCACCTTAGGTTTATTGTTATTTATTAATTAATTATTTTTATAGTGTGGTAAATAAATGGGAATTTCTAGTTTTTAGCATGCCACATTCTTCCCCTCCTTTCACATGTGACAAGGCAGATTTAAGATCAAATGCTCTTGGGATCAGAGTAACAGAGTGCTAGTGGAATCAGTAGCTATGGCAAAAATTTGCCATAATGTTAAATGCTAGATCCTTAATGAAAAATCAGTTATTTGCCTGGTAGTCTGTTTTTAGCCACCCTGAGACCTAGATAATTCTGTCAATTGTTGAATGCTGATGGCTTCCCAACCCCAAGTCATATGAAATGTGGCAATTAAGGATTTGAATGCTCATGTGCTAGATGCAGACGTTGATCATGTATATGACCAGGGGTATTTACTGTCTTTGAGCAGCCTGAAATTTCATGTTGCAGAGAGAAGACTCTGAGTGTTGTTCCTTGTGCTAAGGAAATTACAGCATTACAGCGCATTTGAAGCCTACATCCTTCACTGTTGCCCTCACAAAGTGTCTGAGAACCCTTCAGAGGTTACTGTGGTACAGGCCAGGGAATAAAAGTCTGTATTTGCCATAACAGTGTGCTATAACCACCTGCCAAGTGCCTCATTAACTTCTAGAGACTGGAGGCTTTCAGTTTTTCTCTTACATTCTCTTGAAATAGTTACCCACCTGTAACCACATGGGAATTCAGTCTGGTTCAGTGTGACAGTGTTGCTGAAGTTTAAGACAAATTTCTACAGGGAAAAGAAAAAAACAATTGGCAAATTTGCCATTGTCTCAGAGAAGAACCTTGCTGAGTTTTGTCTTTAAATGGAGAGAGCTATGCTTCCTTGCT